ACTGGAAAAAACTGTATGGGATGTCTCCGGAGAAATTCGTCAACCATCCCACCCCAGCGGCCCGCGGGTGACTAACAGCCACGGACGACGGGCAGGGTTACCAACTCGGATTTTCAAATGTCGCTAGGCTGGTACCTAAAAGTAGCTAAATGTCGCTAAATCTTCCATGGAAAGTCGCTAACTATTATTCCCCCCTTCAGTAATTTGATGCAAATAATATTTTCATAATGACGACTATAATGGACGGAGTATAAACAAAATGCATTATGTAAAAATAAAAATATTATTTTTTTTAAAGTTTAATGTGCACACTTACCTATTATTCAATAGTAATTGCATCCCAGTCCTCTTGGTAGTGTGAACAACTGTAGAGCTGGAAGCATGTGAAGTGCTTGGTTCAGGTTCTCTTGTAACTGTATGCCTCCACAGTCCCTATCTTTCTTAAAATATCACTAGGAAGTTCACAACAGGTGTTCTGTCTTTTTAACCCATACTTTATTGTAAGAATTGCCTTTAATGTCGATAGTGTCATTTTGTTGCGCAATTTTGATTTCACAAAGTTCATATTACTAAATGTGCGCTCTACATCTGCGTTTGAATGCGGAAGAGATAAGGCAGCGAGTGCAATTTCAGCCAGCTCATGGTAAGGGTTTTCACCTGTCGCATCTCTGTAATTTGCCACTTCTAACCACAATTTTAGGGTGTTAGATGTTTCTGTCCAGATTGTGTGATGCAGTTTTTTCCACTGGAAATCAATCTTGGTAAGGGTGCTGGAATCTTCTGTAAATAAGTGTGCCAAACCAAGTATATCTGATTTAATAGGCTTCAAGCATTCATCGGCACTCAGAAAGAAATAGACTGCAGCACACGAATGTTGTCAGGTAAGAGTTGACCAAGTTGTTTTATGAGTTCAACCCGTTCAAATGTATTGTCCCTGTAACCCCGTTGCTATATATTATGGCTCGAAATTAGGAAAACTGAGTTTTCATGGACAGTCCAAAAGTATCCAGAAAGTCGCTAGATTTCTGTGGATATCTTTAGAGTTGCGATAAGTCTCAAATCGCTCTAAAATGTGGCTAGAAAAAAACAAAAAGCTCTAGATCTAGCTACAAAGTCGCTAAGTTGGCAACTCTGACGCTGGGCTGCTGGCGGCTGGTAGCTCGGCGGGAAAATGTTTCAACAGCTGTAATAAATCGCATTTCTTATATTTTACTAAAAAACAAAACATTTTCATTTTCATTTTCATTTCTAAAATTTAATTGACCTTTAGTTAATATTGAGCGATATTACATTAATTATTTAGATAGAAAAAAGTGATTTTTCGACGGGAACATCAGCACCAACAGGAACCTGTAGCGAATCGCATTCCCAAATATTTTATACCCCCAAAAATACTTATATTTACTTTAATGATTAATAATCTTGAATATAAAAATAATTTAACCTTTGTTTAATATTATACTCCATCAAAATAGGTATTTACATAGACAATATTATTTTGATGTTTTAGAGGCAATATCACAACCCGGAAGAACTTTCATTTATTCCCTTGTCATATATTATACTAAAAAAAAATAATATTCACATTAACGACTAATAATTATTAATATGAAAATATGTTTGACTTTTATTTGATACAATACAATACCATACAATACACAATCTTAATATTTAGATAAAATAAATATTTCTCAGGATTTGAACAACAGAGCGATCATTACTTACGCTTCATATAAAAAATAATTCATAAAACTGACTATTATATAATAATATTTACAGTAAAGACAAAACTAATTATTTTCACAATAAAAGTATATGTGATGTTTTTAAATATTATATGAAATAAAATTGAACGTGTTGAATGTAAAAAAAAATAAGTTTAAGAAAGAGTGAGAGAGAGAGAGAGAGAGAGAGAGAGAGAGAGAGAGAGAGAGAGTATAATTTATCGCCTTTCCCTCACTTCCACCTCTCCTCCCTCCCTATTCCACCCCTACCTCCCATCTCCCCTTCCTTCTCCCCTCTTCTTCCCTCCTTAACCCCCACTCTTTCCCTGCCCCTCCCTCTCAATCTTTCCCTAACTCACCCCCACCTCCCCCTTCCCTACCCCTCCCCTACTACCCCTCCCTACGGCTGATCACTATTAGGGATAATCGCCCCAGACGAGGCTATGACCCCCACCAATTGGGTAGTTAACGAGGTATAACTACTTACAAGTCGTTACCACCAGAGCCAACATCACCCGCTAATGGTACGGTAGTCTGTTCTTATCTGCTGGTTCACACACGCTAAGTTTTGTAGAGAGAGAGAGAGAGAGAGAGAGAGAGAGAGAGAGAGAGAGAGAGAGGAGAGAGAGAAAACAAAGACAGACAGACAGACAGACTTCTTATATCTCACTCTCCCATCTCCCCTCTTCCCTCTCCATCTCCTCCATCTCCTCCCCCTCCCCCCCTCCTTTTACGACAATTTCTTTGCATTCATAAATATTCTTTAGTCTATTGTTGTTCTTTACCCTTAAGATAATTGGATCACTTAAGAGTTCGTAAGATATTTTTATCGTATTTATCTTCCTCTCTCTCTCTCTTTCTCTTCCACCCCTCCCCCCTTCCCCCTTCGTAAATATGACGCTTGTGAGAAGACCTGAAGGAAATCGTAAGTAATGATATATTATTTTTTAATCGATCACTTCAACAGGTTTCGTAATTAACTTCAGCAGGTGTCGTAATTAACTTCAGCAGGTGCCCTGTAACTCATTCCAGCAGGTGCCCCGTAACTCATTCCAGCAGGTGCCCCGTAATCATACCAGCAGGTGCCCCGTAACTCACTCCAGCAGGTGTCCTGTAACTCACTCCAGCAGGAGCCCCGTAACTCATTCCAGCAGGTGCCCCGTAACTCATACCAGCAGGTGCCCCGTAACTCACCCAGCAGGTGTCCCGTAACTCACTCCAGCAGGTGCCCCGTAACTCATTCCAGCAGGTGCCCCGTAACTCATTCCAGCAGGTGCCCCGTAACTCATTCCAGCAGGTGCCCCGTAGCTCACTCCATCAGGTGCCCCGTAACTCATTCCAGCAGGTGCCCCGTAACTCACTCCAGCAGGTGCCCCGTAACTCATTCCAGCAGGTGCCCCGTAACTCACTCCAGCAGGTGTCGTAACTCAGGAGGGACAGCAGTGACGTATATCATTGCTGAGACCCTCTCTACCCAGACATGGTGAGACATATGGCTCAAGGAGAACTGGCCCTCGGATACGTAAACACGATGAGACATATGGCTATTAAGTCTGTATACGTAGGCTGGGTCAGACATGTGGCTTACAGGTGTTTATATTAGGACAGGGTGAAATCCACACTCCTCAACACCTGTACACAGACCAGCACACCTTTCCTTTCAACACCTGTACACAGACCAACACACCTTCCCCTTCAACACCTGTACACAGACCAACACACCTGCCCCTTCAACACCTGTACACAGACCAACACACCTTCCCCTTCAACACCTGTACACAGACCAACACACCTGCCCCTTCAACACCTGTACACAGACCAACACACCTGCCCCTTCAACACCTGTACACAGACCAACACACCTGCCCCTTCAACACCTGTACACAGACCAGCCCTTTATCCCACCCTCTGGATAAGCACAGACACATAATCCTTCCGTCTGTTCCAAATTGATCGTAATTGGAGCTAATTGGGGCTAATTGGGGAAGCATCGTCGTTAGGGGGACGTAATTGTCAGGTAAAGTACGGACGGCGAGGCTTTACTACTCCTGTCTGTCAATCTCATACCATCTACATAATGACAGACGATTGACAGGTAGACAAGGGTGTAGGTGTTACTGAAACGAGACGGGGAGATGTTTTGTTTTATATAATTCTGTGTGTCTGACTGTGTTTTTGTGTGTGTGTCTGTTTCATTTTGAGTCTGTATGTGGCCTTGTATGTGTGTGTGTGTGTGTGTGTGTGTGTGTGTGTGTGTGTGTGTGTGTGTGTGTCCCGAGCTCACACCAGAACACCTAATATAAACTCCTTGTCTTTACCTCCCAACACATAAAAAAAAAACCCCACCACTTAATTATCCTTATTTCCTTATCATATTGACAACACTTCTACACTGATTCCCTTTTAGTCAACACATCAGTAATTATTTCAGTGTTCTAAGCTACGATCGCGGCTCTGATACACCCCTCCCTCCCACCCCCCCACCCCCCGGCGGCTGTTCGTGTTGACTCAGCTCAGTACCGAGTTTGTAAACCAGGTGGACACACACGCTTCGATTTTGTGACGTTCCCTTCTTCACCTCCCTACCCCTTTGTACGCCTCTGTCATCGTAAGGAAGCGTTATACAGTAGAGGGAGCTATGGCATTGGTAGATGAGTTCAGTGATAGAATTGATATTGGAATAATGAAAGAAATGATAGAAAATGTAAATAAAGAAGGCGAAAGTATGACAACCTGGTTATAAAGATCTGAAACGTAACATGTAAGAAAATATTGTGTCAGGAAATTGTCATGAGGTACAGAGACTTGTCTGGTGGAAGTGTTTGTGAACTATGGAACACCGGAGTGACCATGAGGTTACTAGTGGGTCTTGCTAATGTCCCTCACTGTGCTGTAACTATCTGCTTCACTTAACTACCTCCTAGTACAGTTAATTACGACCAAACAAATGTAAGTTAAAGTACTATTTTACATTTATATCTTCAGTAATTTATATCAAGCGTTTCACAATGTTATTCAATTTTATTTTATTTTATATTTTAGCCACAAGAATAAATATAACGAGGTTGGTAGGGTAGAGTGAGCAACGAAATGGTTATATAGTGAGGAATTGGCATCGTTGTTTTGATGTAATTCTCTGTTTTGAACCTTCTTTTTGACCTAAACTTCAAACTTTAATTGTGTTTCGAATTTTGGCTTCCTACCTCTTCTGAGAACGTCATCTTCTGAGCTATTATTTCGAATCTCCGTTGTGAATCACGTCTTTGTTATTTGTAGCTTCGAATTCCACATTCTACTTCAAACTCCACATCCTGCTTCGAACTCCACATCCTACTTCAAACTCCACATCCTACTTCAAACTCCACATCCTGCTTCGAACTCCACATCCTGCTTCAAACTCCACATCCTACTTCAAATTCCACATTCTGCTTCGAACTCCAACTCCACATCCCACTTCAAACCCACATCCTAAACTCTCAAAACTCCACATCCTGCTTCGAACTCCACATCCTACTTCAAACTCCACATCCTACTTCAAACTCCACATCCTGCTTCGAACTCCACATCCTGCTTCAAACTCCACATCCTACTTCAAATTCCACATTCTGCTTCGAACTCTCCTTCAACTTAACTCTCACAACTGA